AAAGCTTTTTCGATTACACAAAAAAAAAAAACCAGAAGCTGGAGTGAGATCGGGCACCAGAAGCTGCTCAGCGATGGTGCAGAAGGACGAAGAAGAACAAGACGCAGATGAACAGAGAAAAGAAAGAAAGAAAGAAAGAAAAAAACAAAAAAAATTGCCCCGGGATGAAAATGCCCCCTTAGAAAGTGGCACGTGAGATGCATGTTCTTGCCACGTCCTTATTTGAAACAAATTTGACCACTTCAAACCCTTATTTAATACATTATGCACTCTAGACCCTTTTTTGATAAACGGATTTAACTTCAGGCCTTTATTTGGAATTTTCCCAAACATATATGAGACCAGCAAAACAAATTCAACAATTACCATATTCATAATATTATAGCACATTAGAATGGCATTTCTCAACCAACCAAGTTAAAAGTTTCAAGTAAATTGAACTAAGTTAACTCTAGAGTCTTCACTTACCTCGAATGGAACTTGATCAATTCAAAGCTCTAGATGGAGTCTTTCTTTCATACTCACACTTGAAAGTAGAGAAGATCAAGTTTTCCCCGATTATGTTTCTCAGCACCTCAGAACTAATGTGCCAACTCTTAGGTAAAGAGAACACAAGTGTAAGCTTGCATGAAGAAGGAAGGCTACGTGTGATAAATTTACAAAGTTTTCATTTTACATTGCCATGTGTGGTACAAATAGAACATAAAAGTGGATTAGCTCATATGAGAAGTAATGATGCCTAACCTATATGTATGAGTGTCTTCACCTTAAGAAGACAACTTAACCATCCATGCAAGAGTAGAAGAGAACATGTGGCCTGTCACGCAAAGTTTCTTTCTTTAAGAGACAAATGGCTTCTTAGGTGGATTCACAAGAGTGATGAAGACGTTTTGTGAGAAAGAATCCTTCTGCCTTCGGCCAAGTGGGGAAGAGTTTGATTACTAATTTCTTATGGTAATGACACTTTGTCTTTAGGTGTCAAGTTAGCATAAGGTCTCACTTGGAAGAGACACATGGCTTTACATGTATCGTTAGAAGGGCACGTGAGCATTATGTGTCGAGATTGAAAGAGTCTTGACACGCATAGATAAAAACAAGTGGCTCTCATTCTATTTAAGAAAAACAAGTGGCTTACTAAGAGTGATTAATATTGTGAGAGTTCTCCTCCCACGGCCAAATAAGTAGGTCTCTATTAATATAAATAAATTGTGATTAGTATTAGTTAACTAGTATTATAAATAAATAAATAAATAAATAATGTACTTTATGAGACTTGATTCAACCAAAATTATAAATAAATCGTATTGAATGTTAAGAAAGTCTCGGTTTAGTAATTCAAACTCGAAAATCATATAATTTTGAAAATGTCCGCCCCCATCAACAAATAAGATGACGGTAATTTAATTAGCAACACTCCAATAATCATCGTATACGTCGACGCATATCAACTGAATTTCAACATGTTGAATTCGGGATGATTACGTTCGCGGGAAATCATCTTTCGCGACTCACAAGCTTTATGATCCAATTAAGATTTCTACGTGTCCACCCGATTTCTAATCTAAATAATACTTAATTTTATAGCCAAATTATTATTATTGGACACGGAACATTCCCAATACTACATCAATATGGTTTTGAAAAATCGGGATGTGACAAAAGCGAGCTAGTATGGCTGGACAAATAAAATCCAGCCGATCGTTTCCGTTTTGTCTCTTCCTGTATTTACATTTTGTGCAAGCGTGCTGGCTTGAAGTAAACAGGACAGTCATCACCTGATTTGGTGGGATCTTGGCTCCAAGAGAAGACTTCCACACGCTGCTACTCAATAAATGAAGGGAGACTCCTCTCGTCTCCTAGCAGCACAATGTAGAAATCTTGAAGATAAGCAAAGAAAAGCAAGACGGCAATCATTGTTCTTGGAGGTTCCCTTGGTCCTTTTTGTCAATGTATCCCGGAAGGGACTTGATCTCATTCTCTTTGGCGCATTGTGAGATTTGTATTGGGCGTAATTTAGCCACGGAAATACTCGAGTGCGAAAGTGATTGTAACCATCTAATTCTCCGATTAATAAGTGGATTAATTATTTGCTAGCTCTCACTCGTGGACGTAGGTTTCGACATTTGGACCGAGCCACGTAAATTTCCGGTGTCAATTATTGTTCCTCGTAATTATTTTCTCTTATAATTTCATCATTTCGTGTCCCGACATAATTGTAAAGATTCAGTCCGTTTTCGCGACATTTTTTATGATAGTGGCAAGTGCCGTGATAGTTCATTGTTCTTTAAGCTTGCAAGTCGAGGTGTCAAGCTGGTTTCGAACCTCTTGCTCTTACACGAGTAATCATTGAGATTCTCCTTGACGAGGGCTTGAGTTCGTGATAGATTCGTAAAACTAATGTGAGTTTACAAGTTGAGTATTTTTGGCTTTGGAATCAGGTCAATCCAATCTGTATCGATAAAGTTATGACCATTTTCCCGAACTAGGGCAGAATCGAAATTTCTGCTCGTGCTTATGGCGTAGTTTCCGTGTGTGCAAGTCACTTTCCCGATCATATTGTTCACTAAAATGAGTGCCGTACATAAGTTTTGGCACTTCTAGTATTCTTCTTCCTAATTCACACTAATATTTTCCCAACAACCACTTTAAGATGAGCCACTACATGAAGATTTACTCGTGCAACAAGAAGAGCTTCTCAGTGTTGGCCGATTTGAAGTGCCGCTTGAGGCACTATGGGGAGTCTAGGTGGAGGTGTTCCTGCGGGACTAGCTTCTCTAGGAAGGATAAGTTGTTTGGACACATGGCTCTATTCGAGGGTCACATGCCTGCGGTCGCCTCCAATCTCCTTCTCCATCTCCATGGTCACCAAGTTGTACATGCTGAAATGTAGATGCAGCGCCATGGAGTCGACAAACCTCTTCACCACAATCTTCCAATACATGGTCATCCACATCTTCATATTGAACGCCTCCTGAACCCTCTGCTTGTGTTCCCTCAAATTGCCTAGGTAGACCTCCCTGATTCCCTTAATTTTGATCACCTGCTTGTGTTCCCTCAGATTGCCCAGGTAGACCTCTATGATTCCCTCAATGTCGATCACGTTACTACGGTAGTCGAACACCTCCATGAACCTGCCCTTCTGGGTCATCAACTTGTTCCGTTGCAACAGGTACTCAGAGTTGCAAGTGTAGTCAGTGAGCTTCTCCATTTCAAGAAATTTCATCAACTTATTCATTGTCTTCCCCTTCTTCTTATTGCTCAAATTGGACGCTGCTCTTCTTGTCAACGACTACAGTTGAGGATAATTCTCTAAGTGTCGCATCAAGGCCCGAATCACTACTCCCTCGATGTAGTCCCAAACACGAACCGCGAAACTCGGCTGCTTGCTCACTATTCCCTTCACCTTCCATTGCAAAAGGGTGAGAAAAGCGGTGCTAGGGAGGAAGTCCAGGAGCCCAATCACTCTGGCCTCTTCCAAGACCTCCATTTTCTCTAACAAAAAGTTAGTCCTCGGGTCGTCCTCGGTTCAGTTTTCGAGTTCATCGGCATAGTGGTTAAGCATCTCCACCAGCCCGGTCAATGGCCGCTCTTAGTATCTTAGATTGAAGTTCCTGCTTGTGGAGTTTTACCTCCAAGTGAAGATTGATAGCTTTGATCAATCTCTTGCTTGCATCGAGCACAAAGATTCGGTTGGTCCAGTCTTTTGCCTTTAGACTTTACCGACACCATTACAATCATGATGGGAAACAGGTCAGCATCAACCTCCATGGGAGCTTTTTCTTTCTCGCCCGCAAACTTAATTTTGCCCTATCGAATGGCCACTTGAATATTTTTCTTAAACACGATACGATCGATAGTCTTATAGCTCCAAGAATTATGCCACTTGCAGTATTTCTTGCTCGCTAAATCTTCTTTGCTTGGTATGACATGCCCTTCAATCAGTCTTATTTTGCCATTGGCTAAAAGCAAATAAAAAATCCCGTCTACCTTATTTATGTCAAATGAATAATACTGGGTGTCCTTTGCCTTAGCCATGATACTTAGCTTCTCTTTTGTCTTTGCCGGCTTTAAGGCTTGGCATGTGTATGGTTTGTCGATCACCATTTTAGCCACAGCTATCTCAACAACTTCTGCTTGATTCATATCGTCATCCAGTTCAGACACATCAATAAAGTTCATATCACTTCGCCTACCATATCTACTGTCCTTTTCCTTTAGCAGACTTTCGTGCTTGACTGCCACCGTTACTAGTTGAAAAATATCATAATAGGGTTGTTCAGCCATTCATTCCCTTAAGTCATTAAAAGCCAAATATGTAGAAGTTTTCTCAGGCAGTGGTACAAGACACTTATTCCATGCTTTCTTGAATGGAGATATAAACCGATCCTCTAATTTGTTGTTTTGCTACTTCATTGCCAACAAATCTGCCACAGACATATCAAAAACAACTCTCTAAAACAGATTATGAAACATCATCTCCATTTGCTCCCAAGAGAAAACAAAATTAGCTAATAATGCAGTATACTATGTGAAAGCTGTTTTTGACAATGATAATGGGAATAGTCGTAATTTCTAATGATCGCCGTGCACAGCATCACCACATAAGGGGGTAAACCGGCTAACATGCTTAAATATCGATTAATCATCTTCTTCAGTGAAAAGAGAGAATTCTGGCATCTTGAAACATCTTGGATAGGGTACCATATCCATCCAGTCTGAATACGTTTTCTTGTAGACAGATCTGATGTACCTCATATCACATCCATATTGTCGCATCACATAATCTATCACCAACTGATTCTGATCGAAAGAGAATATAGTAGGGGCTGCGACATGTTGAGGAAGGACGGGTGTGATAAAGCTTGTTATATATATCGTGGAAAAAGCTCTGGCGGTTGTTGTTGCAATGGCTATTGGATTTGCTGCGGAAATGGAGGTGGAACATTTTGTGGAAGTAGTTGTGTAGTTGATGTTGTATGGTTGTGTAATCTGCTGTGGAAATGGAGGTGGTACATTTTGTAGGAGCAGTTATGGTGTTGTTTGATGTTGTAATGGTTGTGGAATCTCCTGCAGAAATAGAGGTGGAACATTTTGTTGATATAGTTGCGGTGCTGATCAATGTTGTAATGGTTGTGAAATATGCTACGGAAATGGAAGTGGAACATTTTGTCGGAGTAGTTGTGGTATCGGTTGATGTTGTAATAGTTGTGAAATCTCCTGCTCCCTAGGCAGGAATAGAAGTGCACCCTGGTTGTCGATGGTAGCATTAGGGACATGCATGAGGTTGGGTTGAGCGTAGCACCAAGTGGTTGTACGTCTCAAAAGCCGGTAATAGTGCATTGTGCTGAGGATTTTGGTTCACTATACCATTAGTATCTTTCCCAGTTAAACCGACCATAACTGGATTAGGCAATTACCCCCGTTGGTCCAAATTGGCCCAAAGGTCTAGGCCGTACCCATTGCTTCGCCGCTTTTCCACGGGTTCAAGAGATTACTTCCATTAGTCAGCATCTGCCCACAGGTCTGGGTCATGCCAACAATTTCACTCCTTTATAGGATCCTAATTTGTGGTCGAGGCCGTATGATATGCCCAATTGAGCCAAAAGTAACTTGAGTAGTAGGTGAGGAAACATACCCAGTAGATACAGCAACGGCATGGCTGGCCTGAGGCTAAGCTGAATTACTTGACCTTCCATGTCTACCCTTGTACGCACTTGCGGTAGGTATTAACAATCAAGGGCCCAATTACACCGACAAAATGTTTTGACGCGTGATTTGTCAACTCATTCTGGTGCTTCTCTAGCATTCTCCTTATAGTATATAACATCACTAGAGTTGGCTCCATTTGCCTCCTCTGTTCTTCACTAGTTGCCTCGAAATATCCACATCCTCGTTCTGGACTTAATCCAACACTAACGGCGCCGTTGATGACTCGGCATGTCTTGTTCTCTCACTAGTTGGTGGCGGTGGAGAACTACCACTAGCATTATCAGAATTGGATTGACTCCTAGTACGTGGCATAATATCCTCTCAAATTAGCAACACCGGTCCTACCAGGCATGCCAAAAAGATGTTTCGCCGGAATTGCTCTCGCGATAAAATGTCTTTCACCGAAAGTAATTCTTTAGCTTTTTATGTGAAGAAATCAAGGTCCTGCGCTAACTTTGGACAGAGAATATCTCATGCAAAAGGGAATCAACCTCTCTAATTCAAACAGCACTATACAATCCCAAACCAAGCCGGAATTTATTCGATGACAAGGGCCGAAAATTACAAACTCAATGACGTAATAGGATTCAAGCAAATAATGTTGGAATTTAATCAACGACAGAGCTTAAGAACATAAAGATACTATACTAGAATTTAATCAATGGCGTAGCACCAAGATAAAGATACACACCATAATTTAATCAATAACGCAAATCTGAAAGCTACAACTAAGAAAAGTAAAAGTGCAATACATGAAAGATAACATTTGATTTTATTTGTGCCAGAAAGGCTTCTGATGGTGGATTGTTGGTAGTTCTAGTGGAATATGGTAACTGCTTTCCGTCGATTTCTGGTGGTTATAATTCTCCAAGTAAATTTTGTCGGTTACCTCCACGTGTCTATACCACCACAAACCTCATGTGCATAAATTGCCCTATGATGTGGTTTCTTGCAGCCATATATGTCCCCAATATTGCCTTCAGGCGGTAATTGTTCCCTTAAAAAATATGCCTTTGGCCTCAACTGCTCCATCGAACAGTTTGGTTTTCAGGCGGTAACCGTTCCCCATAAAAATTTGTGTCTTCGGCTTCAATTATTTTATCGATCTTAAACTTCAAACCAGCTTATTAATACCTTTTCAATAAACAATCATTGCCAATATTCGTATTAGCCACTACCAACTATCCGTCACCTTATTTCGACAACCGAACACGTGGTGTCGATGAATACTGTTGTCAGCCAATGTATATTGGTCCCTACACTTGTCTATGAGTTGGCACACTTATAATAATGCCCACACGGTATGCACATGATCATGTATATTCATTTTCTGTTCATGTGTTTTATGCCAAACAAATTATATTTTGGGTGTCAACACCACTAAGGAAATTTCACTCGTTACCATTACCATATATTATATTTAAATAAGTAAGTATGTATATATATTTGCCATCAATGTGACATTTTTATGGCCACTCCAAAATGATAATTTTTTACACATATAAAAATTGACCTGCTTTTTTCTTTTATATTTTCATTTGTGGAAGGATAAGGATAAATCGTTGATGCATATCTCCTTTCGATTACCAAATCTGGAACATTTCCTTTCAAATGCAAAATCTTAATCCATACTTGCCAAAAGAAGATTCATTTTCTTCCTTGTGGAAATAGTGATCCCCGGCAGGCTATTAATGATGATTACCAGGATTTAGGTTTGAGGTCTACCAATGGGATATGATTTATGTGTATATAAGGATGAACATTGTCTTGTATCATTGTCAAAAATACTCTGGCCTGCTCTACAATGGTAATGGTAAGTCTAGGAATGCCTCTTTCCAAATGGTTGGTTTTGATGATAAGTATTATTAGTACGATAAGCGATGGGCGTGCTCGAGCGAGAATCCTTGTATCAAACAAAGTTACAGGTTTCGATAAGCCTAAAGGAGTGGTAAAAACCATTGAGGTCGTTCCTAAGCTCTGCCAGTTGCAATTTCAACTTTTTTTGTTCTCTTTTAAATATGTTCTCTTTGATAAGATAACATATGAGAACCTATACTGCAGAGTTATGAAACTGGTGAAGTGATCGATTGTGTAGACATCTTCAAGCAACCCACTTTTGATCATCCACTTCTCAAGAATTATACCATGCAGGTTTTTGTCCCTTCATTTTTTCACCTATAACTTGCATCGGTATTCAATCGTGTGCTTTCCATGCAAAATCTGCAGTTAAAAGTAGAAATGAATAGAGCAGTTCTAGGAGAAAAGTTGTTTCAATATTACATGATGTCTAAGAAATTCAGGTTGTTCTATGTCAGAAGTATTGTTATGTGACCTTAGATATGTCCGCCAACTTTATTTAACAATCGCTGAAGCTGGCACCGTTTACGAATAGATGAAACCAAGATCAAATCGGAAAGCAAATAGAGCGAGATATGTGGAACGTGGGCTCAGTCAAGCTTGGTGGAAATATGGTGAATGCCCTGAAGGAACGATCCCCATCAAAAGACCACAAAATCATACCAATCATCATGTTACACCGTTGACTCGACGCATGAAGCGGCTCAATTTGAGCAAGAATGACGTCAATTCAGAGGATGGACACGAAGTATGTGCAAATACATCACGATATGACTTACTATGGCATTGATTTTGACTTAAACTTTTTGTTTATGCATTGATTCTTAAGTTTTACTTTCTTATGAGTTTGTTGTATGTTGGTCAGTATGCTATAGTATCTTTGCCCGATGGCAACTACAACGGAGCTCGTGCAACAATTAATTTGTGGAATCCTACAGTAGTGGATCCAGAAGGCAGTTTCTCTCAAATTTGGGTCGCAGCAGGCCCCGATGAGGATCTTAATACTGTAGAGGCCGGATGGATGGTAAGAACTTAGAATGATCGAATCATAAGATTTTAGCATGATTGGCATTCTAAATGTATGTAGATTTAGAAGATAAGTGGTTTGTGTTTTTCTTATAGGTTAATAAAGGTGGGAGTTTTACCGGGCAAGCAGAGATTTTCACATACTGGACAGTGAGTTCTTAACTCTTTTGACCGCTTACAATTCACCAAACTTTCACAAACATATCAAACATTGACATGCTTTTCTTGGGTGGACTTTAGAGTGATGGCTATAAGGAAAGAGGCTGCTACAACGTCAAATGCAGAGGATTCGTGCAAATAGATGCAGATTTTTTACTAGGCTCTGCGATTCAACCAGTTTCCACCTACGATGGACAGCAATATGACATAAAAGTAGAGATAAAGAAGGTAACGGAACAATCTTTTGGGTAAATAGGCACGGGATATTTTCGAGCCTTCTATCTTTCAACTGAAAGTATTTCAGGATATGTATACTGGATCGTGGGTGCTGAGCATTTCGGACATAGAAGTAGGATTCTGGCCCGACGATCTCTTCACTCATCTCAGAGGCCCAGCCGATGCAATTGATTGGGGCGGAGAGACAGGCAAGAAAGTACCGGATGGTGGGCCTACGTCATCGCAAATGGGGAGTGGTCATTTCCCTTCTGAAGGCTATGGAAAGGCATCCTATTTCCGCAATCTTAAATTCCTCGACGACGAATTCAATGAGAGAGACCCGGAGAATCTCAACACACATGTTACAAGACCTGAATGCTATGACTTAGTGCTTAACGAGGACCCGTTCACTACATTTGGAGTCAATTTCTTTTATGGGGGCCCCGGAATTTCAGCTTAGTGTGCAAACTAGTAAACATATAATAACATGCTTTCCTTCTTCTTCTTTTTTCGTACCCTAATGAAAATGGCTTCGTTAAGTGTTTAGCAGTGAGTACACCAGTGCTTTTGAAGGAAGTACTACTAGGTGGTTTGATCTATTTAATGTTGTTAAAGCCACTTATGAACTGGTAATTGTTTTGAAAGGAGAGTATTCGGCTATAATCACGCTTTTCGATTACAGCTCCTTCTTTTGCCCTAAACAGAATTGTTAACTATGGACAAGGTGTAGTCTCTTCTTAAATATTACACATACTACGGATAATTAACTATTACCTGTAAAATTGATTAAAGGGCTAAAAATCTGACAAGATATGGCGATGCTCTTGTATGAAAGTTAACTTCATCTTTTGAAGGAGATCAAATCAAACCATTGATTTCTGAAAGCTTAGTATGGGAATTAGATCGTAGTAATAAGTTCACATGCCATTCACAAGCATTGCTTGCATGTGCAGAAAAGCATTAATGACTGCTATCTCCAGTTCAATAGAAAATCATGCCCATACAAGAAACATTCTTCATTATAACTAAAAATCTTACTCCATCTATTATAACTGATGGTGGTTAAGGTAGGAAAAATTTCGACCGATGATCAGTAGGATGATTTGAATGAAGGCATACAAATGTATATAAGGAGACTCCTCTATTTCTATTTTTCAGGAATTAGCGGTTAGGTAATTTGATTATAATCACTATGAGCATTGGACTTCCTCTAGAATCCATAATTGCTCTAGAGAAAAGAAAAGACATAGACGAGGAAAATTATGGGACACAAGGGTCGTCCTTGATTGTTCCCATGATTTTTTCTCGAGAATCCATTGTCATTTTCCTTTGAATTTGGAATAAGGTCTAGCCCATTAATAATTCTTTGCATTTCTTAATCTTCATCCTTGAACATTGATTGATTAAGAGGAAGGAATTCAAGGGAATGATATGTTATCGAATTCCCAAATGTATAGACTGCATGAATATAGGACCTGCTTTCCTCCTTCCATTTCATTTGTTCCATGGAAATGAATCTTAGATAAAAGATTGATGATAGAAGGCCTCGTTATGTCAATACAACATACTGGTTATAAGTTGATCTTTCAATGCGGAAGATTTCCATTTCTAATTGGCATTGAAATCTGACACATCCTCTAGTGGCCTTCATAGTATTGCATGATCCACATTAAATCTATGAATTCCTTGTTTCCTAAGAAGAGATCAACAATGTACAGTAAATGCTAATGGTCATTAGTGTAGGGTTCCTCAAGTGCTAAAAATACAGCGGAATTTGTAAACCGAAACCTTAGACAGGATCTATGAGTATATTGAAATCTAAATAGAAATTCGACACGTACCTTTTTGCAGATCGAAGTTAAATTGACAATCGATTGTGTCTGGATTAACGCCCCAAGTATTGCGCCTCTACCGGTATCCACACACACGAACGGAAGTCTCCAATGATCCAAGTGCTAGCTAAAGATCTTGGACTTCTTTTTCGTGATCGCCTTTGATCCTCGAGACTCTCTCAAAGATCTCTGAACAGAGAACAATTCTCTTCGTATTCTCTTGGAGGCGTTTTTCTCTTAAGGTTTTTCGTCACCCACACGCTATATATATATATATATAGCCTCATTATCTATGCGAATTAAAAGAAGTGGGGCCAGGTGATTTGGGCCCACCAAACTGTCCACATTCAATCGTACGTTTAATCGTTATCTCATAACGTGCACGACTGCGTAGATAAGTTGAATAGGAGAATAAATTAAAATCTACTTCTTATTTTAAGTAGATCGCGGCGCACAGAAAATATTAACTCAGTTCGCTATTGTGTGCGACCCTATAGGTTCACTAAACATTAGCAGTGTGCTCAAAACCCTTTTTGGCCCATAAGTCATAAGCGGTCTCTAGCAAGACATTATGACTACCTAAGTATAGTGAAGGTCGGTTTTTCGACACAGCCTAATTCACAACTAATATTATAGTATCAACCTTGATTGATTCCTAGGGCAGACCACTAACAATTAGGTGGGTGAAATTGGGAAAAAAAGTTATCTTGAGGACAAAAAGAACAACAACACAAAGCTGAGATTAGAATTTGATGTAAGAGTAAAAGTGGAACTCATCTAAAAGTGAGAAATGAGCAACACTTAAACATTTCATTTTCCTCTCCAAAATTTTTCTCATGTACAATATAATGTCCTCCTTTTCCCCCAAGAAAAAAATTGTTAGATCTTGCTTCTTGTTTTGACAATCAATCTTGTTATCCTAACATGCAAATGCAATCTTAAATGTCGCTTAATCCTAAACTCCATATAAGAGCTCGTAAGCCCTTGAATTGCTATGAGCAAAATAATGGGCACGCATATTAAATACATCACACGTATTCGTCTTACAATAGATTTTTCTATTTTTATCCCATAAACGAGTTTCTGAGCAGAAAGTAGCATTTGATAATGATATAATTTCTGTTCTTGGAACATAAATTTGTTTATCATTATACTTCTCATTTCTGTTCCAAAAAATTTATACTTCTCATTTCTGTTCCAAACCTATTTCCGAGCTAAAAATTTGTCCCGAAAATATAAAAATAAAATTGCGCTACCAAATGGATTTATGTTTCAAACATGTTCCCGAAAACAGAAAAATAGAAAAACAAAGGAATAAAATGGTTATCATTAATTCCCTAAGAGTATTTAAGTTCATTTTGAGTTGGACCTAAAACTAAACAATTAAATAAAAGATCTGGTATAGAAAGCCGGAAAAGTTAAAGAGCAGGTAATAGTTGGGTCGAGAAAGTCAAACAAAAGAAAGAGAAATCACTGGACCAATACCACATAGTCATTGAATGTGTGGGTCCCACATAAGAACCCACTCGATCTCATGGTTTAGTCATTGCATGAAATGACCAAGTGTTATTGGGAAGCTATGAAGTAGATCCTCAAATATTTAAAATAGACGGCAGATGGTGGTACGGTGTACCAAAGGGACGACAATGGCAGTGTGACTGGTTATGTGGATTCAGATCATGCTAGGGACTTGGATGACGGCAAATCATTGGTGGGGTATGTGTTTACAATGGCAAGAGGTGCAGTGAGTTGGAAGGCGTCCTTACAGGTGAGGCAGAGTACACGACACTGACCTATGTGGTGAAAGGGAGATATGGCTAAAGGGTTTGCTCTTGGACCTTGGATTAAAGCAAAAAAGCATTACTATTCACTGTGACAACCAACGTACGATGTATTTAGCTTATAATCCTATTTATCACAAGCAAACAAAGCAAATCAGCATCAGGTATCATTTCATCTAAGTCGTCATAGCAAAGGGTAAGGTTGTTGCAACAGTAGAAAACTCGACAGACATAAATGACGAAACATGTTCCTTTGCCGAAACTCGAGCTTTGCCGAAGCTCGATTGGCATCTGCAAAGAATAAGCGCCCATCAGGGGCACTGGAAGAGCTAGCATAGATAATGAGCACTATGACTTGGCAACAAACGTCGAGCTGAGATGAAAAATTGTTAAATTATGTCTCAAGTTTGAGCCCATTAAATAAACATGGTCCAAAATTAAAGCTGTGACAACGCAAAACGTCACGTGCGACATGTGTCCTTTCTAATTATATTATTTATTCAGTAATAGCATGCGAAAGCTCAACAAAATTTTTTTCCTTCAAAATCTCGTACAAGAAATTTGCATGAGTTAAACATGGATATTATCTAATAATATCAATTTTACAACTTTGACACATCAATCAAGCAAAGCATAAAATACAAAAGTCTTGGAAAGAAGGTCGAGTCAACTAGCGCCACTATTCCCACATTAATCCAAAAGCAAACCATCATCCAATTCAAGGGTTGATGGCCTCAGTCATAATCTCGTCCTCTTCATTGTCATGTCTAGGGGAAACATCTTACAAACTGAAAAATAAAGGAATGAGCCGAAACCTAGTAAATGAAATCCCTAATTTTAAGTTAGGAAAATCATATTATCACTTCGCCCGGCACTAACAATGTAAATGCATAACAACCAGTAAATATGCTAAGAACATGAATAAATGATATCCCTTTCCCATTTGGATTTGCCACAATAAATTCATTAATTTATTACTCCACATCATTTCAATTCAAATGCAAGCATATGGCATAACATGTAACACTCATATTTATGCGTTAGGTTCATTACTTCTCTTCCTGAACTCTTCCAGTGCATCCCGACACACGGGGCATCTCAACTCCGAGGCATCTCAACCTATGGGGCATCTCGATTCACAAGGCATCTCGACACACGAGACGTCCCGATCACACAACAAGGCATCCCAACTTCGAGACATCTCGGTACACCCTCCAGGGCATCCCAACCTATGGAGCATCCCGACCTCCGAGGCATCCCGACACACGGAGCATCGTCACCATTAATTTTACAGTTGAAAATTATAATATTCTTATGTACAATGCACATGTTAACCTTGATATTTTTTGCTTTAAGAATGAAGTAAACTCTCATTACGAGTTTACCTCCTTTCCTTTCTCATCATGCCTTTTCACATTAACATAATAATAATAATAACAACATACTTATCTCTTCCATTTTGCAATGATAAGTAAACATTTACAAGCATTAGACAAACAAATAAGTATGAACAATATGTGATTAGACTCAAGAAATTAGACTCGAGAAGTAAATCGGGGGAAGAACAACAGAAGTGCCAAAAGTTATGTACGGAGCTCACTTTAATGCCAAAAGTTTCATTTGGATCACTTAAGTGCCACATCGGAGGAAAAATGATCAACTTTGGTGCTAACGGCGAGAGATTCCGGCCAAATTAATACGTGGTATTTATAATTAAATTTTTAATCTTAGTTGGATTTTTTTTAAAAAAATTAGTCAACGTGGCATTTTCACGTATATATTTCGATTTTTTAATTACTTTTCTGAATTTTTTTCTTTTTTTTCTTCTTTTCTTTTTTTCTTTTCTT